AAGGACTTGACAACTGGGAATTGAGGAGAGATGAGTAACTGGACCATGAGTTATAAGGAAAATTGAAGGCATTTTTTGTCCAAGAATAAAAGTGTATGTGGAGCTGTCATTTCTTCCCATCCTTTAGCTTTTGTATAACTTGTGTAGTTTCTTGATTAGTCATGCCAAGTGCAGTTTGGGAATGAGTTTTATTTTGTCTTATTTCTGTTGAATATTTGGGCTTATGAATATTCTTTAGTACAGATTGTCTGGGCTTTTTTGGGAAGCCTAGTAAACTTTGGCATGTTGCAAACCTCGACTTTTTAGTTTGATGAACCTTCTGTTGATGACTTAGGCTTCTAGTGGGATTGTGCTTTACCAGTTTGGTGGAATGCTAAGCACATGCTGGAATTGATCTGAAAATTTTGCGTAGACAGTACTTGAAAGCTAATGCTGAAACAAGCGAAGCTCTAGCCAACCTCAGTTTATCATGTCTAAAACTAGTTTAAGCAAAATCACAATGATGATTGATCGGGTCTGGTCACTGCATCTTAGATCCATTGTTGCAAAGGACTCTTGTATCTGCAATGGCTTTGTACATACATGAGTGCAATGGATGAATTTGTACTACATGTAGCATAAAGAAACTTCTATTCCATGACCTGTTAATGTGGTTGTCATAATAGTTGTCATCGCTGTTGATTCTCACTTGCTAATTTTTTTTCTTGGCAGTTGACAGATTTTGGGCTTTCAAAAGTTGGTCTCATCGACAGCACTGATGACTTATCAGGTCCATTAGCAAGCAATACGGCTTTTATTGCTGAGGATAAGCCAAAAGCCACAGCAATATCGTCTGCCAAAAGAGAAGAACGGCAAAAGCATTCAGTAGTAGGCACCCCTGACTATTTGGCACCAGAGATACTCCTGGGGATGGGACATGGTCTAAATTCAATTGACTTTCAGGATCAATGAATTATTTCGTGTAATATTTTTCTCATGGTTCAGCTACTAAAGTTGATGTTTTGCATTGCTTTTCCTCTAGGTGCAACAGCTGATTGGTGGTCTGTTGGTGTTATTCTTTATGAGCTTCTTGTAGGTATTCCACCTTTTAATGCAGAACATCCACAGGTATGCTATCAGTCCTTAACTTTCAGGACTATAATTAAGGAAATAACTTTCACTACAATGTAACAATGCCCTTGAATCTAAAATCATGTTACATTTTGGTATATGTTATCCAACCTTTAACAAAGTTTTTTATTTCACCTTTAAAGTTGAATACTGTGTTTTTGGTTAATTTTTCGAGGATGAAGGATGAAATTCTTTCCTTTGAGCTTTTATTAGCTTTGATCTTCTGTGAAATTTATTTTTCACATTGTAAGCAGTGTAGGCAGGTGTTAAAATTTTTGACAACCTCAACAAACTTTGGTTACGTGTCAAGTCATTTGACCTTACATATGCAAAAGGTTAAAGAAACTAGCTGGTGACGAGCACTAGCAGGTTCCTTTTCACGAGCTATATTGGGGCGCTTTTTATCAGTGTGTTTTTATTGGTTTGTATCTCCAAAGTCCTTGAAGTCAGTTTTCACATCAAATATCTAAAGGCAAAAGATTTGAGATGAACTTTCATGCTGCTTAGTCAGCTAAGGAAAAGCAGCTGCTTGTTTATTTGATTGTAGATAAAGTCTTCTGAAATTTCACCAATTATGCAATTGCGACAACTGATTTTAGGGGTAATACGCGTCTCTTGCCCTGTTGCAGCAAATTTTCAACAATATCATGAACAGAGACATTCCCTGGCCCAAGGTACCAGAGGAAATGAGTTATGAAGCACATGACTTGATTGACAAGTAAGTATTTTATTACACATTTACTTTTTTGGGTTATTCAGTATCAGGAATCCTCCGTCCGTCTGATAATGAAATGACTGTTATCATTACTTAGAAAGTCCATAGAACACGAATCATGGCCTGTGGTTTGATGATGCCCAGTAGATATAGAACCTGTGAACTTTTGATCAGCCAAAATCTGCCTTCAGAGAATGTGGATTCTGAATTTTGGTTGATTGTAATTCAGATTTTATTGTAGTGGAACTGTTTATTGCTCACCGTACCACAGGAACTCATATCCTGATAAAAGAGATGCTTATTAGCATGTCTTATCCATTGTTCAAGGAAAAGCAGGGCAATATACAACAATTGCCCTTGTTTTGCACATGGACAACTTGCTCGCAACTAATTTAAACTTTCCCTGTTAACTGTCATAACATGGAAAGATGCTTAATGCTTGATCAATTAAGAGGCACAGCCTATTTGTTTGGCATATTGATCATGGAAAGTCACTATTTATTTCTATCTTATGTACTTGCACAAAATATGATTACTCTTTTGTACATGTCATGGCAATTATTCAGATTGTAATACCAAGTTCTCAAGATGTACATCTAAACAGTTCTTAAGCGAGTAAAGAAAGATTTTCAAAGTGTTTATGTTTGCTCTATCATGTATCTTAATTAAAACTGGCATTTCTGTGCTACAAAACTTCTAACGAGGTAGCTAGTTTGCTTGTTCTCTCCCTCCTCGCCCTCCCATCTTCCCCATGCTCTCTCTCTCTCTCCTGCTTGCTCTCTAATGCATATTACAATAGCACAATCAATCACAATTCTTTGATGAATTCACTTATGGCAGTCTGGTGAACCATAAGTTCTCTAACTCAAATTCTAGGCAAAGTAGACGCTTCCATGTATATTTGTAAATTATAACATTAAATTTTCTTCCAGATTGCTAATTGAAAGCCCGGTTCAGAGATTAGGTGCAACAGGTTCTAAAGAGGTAGCTGCTCTCGTAAACTTTTGTTGTCAATATGCCAGTGTTTGATGACTAAACATGGACTTGACTGTGATCTTTTTCTGTTTTCCAGGTAAAAGCACATCCGTTTTTTAAGGATATCAACTGGGACACACTGGCTAGGCAGAAGGTCTCTCTCTCTCTCTCTCTCCAGCAGGAATAATTTCTATACCGACAAACTTGAACACTCACAGGAACTTCCAACTGTCAATATAGGCTGCATTTGTACCGTCAGCTGAACCCCATGACACTAGTTATTTTATGAGCCGTTATATTTGGAATCCCGAGGATGAAAGTGTGCATGGTGGTAGTGATTTTGATGACATGTTCGATACTGGCAGCACTTCCTGCAGCAGCAGTTCAAACAGCAACTTACAAGATGAAGATGTATGAGTTTGATTTCTGATTTGTCTTCAGGATATATCCACAAACTAGGAAATGCCGGTCCCAGTTTTTTTTGTCAAGTACATTGTGTTTTTTGGGTAATAAAAAATGAAAAGCAAAAGTTTTGTAAAACGAAAGAAAAATTTTTGTTTACTAGCGACTTGTTTAATGCGACTATTAATGTCATTGTTTCTGACATCTTAGTTTCTGTTTCTTTGAAGCAGGGTGATGAATGTGGCAACTTGGCTGATTTTAGTGCTCCATCCGCTGATGTGAAGTATTCATTCAGTAATTTCTCATTCAAGGTGAGTCGAACAAGCCTATATGCTTCATAAATTTGAGAAAAAAAGGAGCTAGTGCTAATGGAAGGATGGCAATTGACTATTGAATGATGAATGTGTAATGATCTCATTTTATGGAGGTAAAACATTCCTGTCCGAACTTTGAGAAGCAATTCACACGTTTTTTATTATGTCGACGCCAGAACTTGTCTCAGTTGGCTTCTATCAATTATGATTTGCTTATAAAGAGTGCCAAAGAATCAATTGAAGCTGACAAAACATAGACTCCGTGACAAAAGACGGTGGCAGATCGAATTTTTGCTCTGAATTCCCTTCTTGCTGCCAGTATCAGATTGGATGACAACCAGGTTGATCTTGATTTGAAGATGTCTGAACTGCTGGCCACCACAAGGACCCCCAGGTAACAAAAATCAGTTCATCTTTTGGCAAAAATTCCACGTCCCACAGGTACTGAAGCAGGAGAGTACTTGGCAGTTTTGGTCTTTAATTCCGTACTCCTGGACATTCAACACCAAAAGGAGGACGCCGAATGCCCTAAAGATGGTTCGGCCTAACCAAAGAGCATCAATCCCTTTTCTTTCTCTCTTTCTCGCTGTTTGTACATTCCCTTTTCTCTGTGGCAGCGAAGTTTTGTTTAGTCTCCCCTTCTTTTCTGTAGCTCTTTTTTTTTTTTTTGGGTGTAAAGATGCTTTTATCTACCTCTTTCCATCAGCTTCTGCGTTTTCTTTTCTTTTTTTTTTCCCTTTAAAACAATAAATCCTTGGTAGAGAATAGAGATACAGGAAAATTATTCACCTCTACCGATAAATTGATGCAAGAAAAATTGCTCTCTCACCCTTCTTTCACTACTATTTTTGTAATTTAGTGTTGCTTACGGAGAAATGGAGGAAATGGTATTCGCTTCAAACCTATAACATCTTTGAAATGGAGTAAGCAATTGATTACGCAAATATAGCTAATGAAACTTTAGAACAGCTCTGATGCCAATATACTAGTTGAATCTTAAGGGCAGATTTTGGTGAAACTAATTCAAAACAATAAATATAAGTGCCTATTTATATAGTTTGTTCAGTAAAATTTAAGTATCTTTCTACATATAAAGCCTAAGCAGATTTTGGTGTTAACGAAATATGTCATTTTTTGAATTATCAATTTTACCCTTAGGCAAAATGGTTTTACTTGAATTAAGGGCAAAATGGTTTTACAAATTTCGTAGAGCATCATATGTTTCTCAAAATGCACACACATGAAGTGTGCCTTCATCACTAGGGATTAGTCGGGCCCGTAAGGATTGACTCGGACACCTCTGTATCGACAAAAAAAAGAAAAAAAGAAATGTGCCTTCATCACTAGTTTTAATGTATGCTCGGGGGCGTGGGCACTCATCAGATAAATATCCATTTTTGTATTGGGTTAATCACACACTACTGTATTTGGACTAGAAAAATATACTAGTAAATAAGATCACTTGAACCAGGACCACGGTTCATGAATAGGGGGAATCGGGGCAAACGTGAGTGGGGAGGAACACTTGAACCCTTGCACCTCTCCACCTTGTCTTGCCTTGGCTGGTTCCGTTGTTCGTCTCTCCAGTCCACCCACGCGTAGCTGATTGTCTAAGGGAGATTCCTGTAATTTTAGGCTTGAACGAGAAAGGCAGCATAATGGATCTTCCGTTGAATGGGGAGCATAATAATAATAGTATAGTAAACTCGAAAAGTACACATTGGCCTGATTCTCCACGAAAAGAATTTGTTATTAGCTTTGGTCCATCCATAAGCGCAGTTCGACCCAAGTTCCCTCCGACGCCAAGAATATTAGAATTCCCCGAATTGCAGCCTCGCAATAGTATTTGTTTCTTACTTTCTCTGCATAGTTCGTGAGCGAATAATTTCAGAGATGTGGAGGCGCACGACTTGGTTACCACCTCTATTTTCTTCCTCCAAACGCTCACTCGTCAGCCAGGTATTCTCCACTCATCTGATCTGATTTTCCGCTTTCAAATTCGCTGCTCAAATATGAGAATTCATTAGAATAATGCATCTGAGGTTATGGTGATAGCGTTTCTTTTTTACATCTAGATACAGGGAGCTTACGGACTAAGGATTTGGAGAACGATGAGTTCTGAGATTCAGAAACCGGTATAGATTCCAATTCTTCGTTTGCTTTGCATTTAAAAATATTTAAGGATGACTGCTGCTTTTGACTGATTTTCTGATATTGCGGTTTGTCTGTTGCCGTTGCTGATGCTCTAGTCAAATGCTTTGTTAGAATAGGCTGCGTATTGGCTGAATCCTTCGCATCTACAAGAAGTTGTAGCATGATTTATTCATTTTGCCAATTTTCTTTTAGTGATTAGCAGAGCTATTCTACTGCCTTTGGAATGCGACAGCTGTTTTTTTGTAACTAATAGTATCTTAAAATCAGGAAATGTTTTACATTTGGGAGTTATTATGATTCGGTAAATGAAATAATGACAAGATCGAATGGTGAAGAAAGCGCGAATTGCTGTAGAGGTTATATGTCAGTTTATCCTCCAATTATGGGAGTACTGTTGGCTCAAGTACTCTAGTTAGTAAATTGTTTTTTACTTGCAAGAATCTTGTTCATTCAAGGTGCAAAACCTTGTTCACATTATCCCAATGTTGGGGACTATTAAGATCAGCAGATAGAACTTTTTAGTTTTTTTCATTATTTGGTGAAACTTTCATAATGTCATGTTGTTTTCTTGTGTGGTTGTAGGAAGAAGATGGAACCTTCCCAAGAGGAATAACCCCGTTTATAACTTTTGTCTTGGGTAATCATCTCCGTCATTTTGGGTGACTGAATTATTACTTCGTTGTTCTGCCATGTGACTTGTTGCAACATCTTTACTGTTCATGTTTGTTGCCAAAGCATAAAACTTGTCTGTCTTTTGCTTTCTAGATGTAAATATTTTATTTCGATCATAAACACATATATTGTCAGTTACGGATTCAGTGAGTTGTGGTCAGAAGTCAGAACATGCTGTTTGAAATTGCCTGATAAGCATTAAATACCAGATGGAGATCAACATTGGCTTGAAATTTCATGTTAACAGGAGGCCCAGGTAGTGGAAAAGGAACTCAATGTGCAAGAATTGTTGAAAACTTTGGGTTCACCCACCTGAGTGCAGGAGATCTGTTGAGGCAAGAAATTTCTTCTAATAGTGAAAATGGGTAAATGCAGCAATTTCCATCAACATTATTTGCAAATAAGCACACCATACAAATGTGAAGGTACTTCTGATGATGCGGTCTTGTTTCAGTGCTATGATTTTGAACACCATCAAGGATGGAAAGATTGTTCCTTCTGAAGTAACTGTCAAGCTAATACAAAAGGCAATTGAATCAAGTGAGAGTCATAAATTTCTCATTGATGGTTTCCCACGAACTGAAGAGAACCGTTTGACATACGAAAGAATTGTGAGTGTATCTTCTTTATATGTGACAGTGATTTATAAAGCTATATTTCCCACTATTCAAATTCCATTAATTGGACTAGTAATGCTCTAGCTGGCTCTTTCCTGACCATGGAGATGACTATTTAAGCTTCCTGTTGGTTTATTTGGACATACATCCATTGGAGAAAAATTGTTGGAATTGGGAATATTCGTAGGGATTGGTCTTTCATTCAACTAAAGAGTGAACCACAAATGCAGATTGGTGCCGAACCCAATATTGTGCTTTTCTTTGATTGCCCCCCGGAAGAGATGGTTAAACGAGTGCTGAACCGTAGGCAGGTGCATTTTTCATTTTTCTATTTCTTTTGGATTTTTTCTTTTCTTTTTTCTTCCAGGTGAATGCTACTGTTTACACTTTCCTTCCTTATTTAAAGATAATTAACAAAACTATCATCTTTTAATCTAGGGGCGAGTCGATGATAATGCAAACACGGTCAAGGAACGGTTAAAGATTTTTAGAGCTTTAAGTCTTCCAGTGGTCAACTATTATGCCAAGAAAGGAAAACTTTACAAGGTACTGCCACTGGAGGGAGTATATTTGTTTGCAAGTAGGGCTGCTTTTTGGATCTGGCTTACAGTGCAACTTGAAATGTGACATGTTTTTCAGTAGTTAATAGGTTAATACTCTGTTATACCTTCTTTTTTGTGATAGGTCCTGGATGATACATTGTTTTACTGGCACAAAGTGGTCCTGCACCAAAATCTTTTAATGTATCTGATCTTTTGTTGGTCTGAGTTTTATGTGTTGATTATGCATTTAATACACTATGCATGTTATTTAATTATTTGAAGTATTGCTTCCTATCGAATGGTACTTGAGTTGTGCCATGCACCTCAAGAAGCCGAACAAGAAAGAAAAGCTTTGGATGACATTTCCCTTTCGATTGTCAAACTACTTAATGCTGCTTATGCTTTTAAATCTTATTTTTCTTCTGTTTTATGTTATACTGAAAGAAAAGATTTTGGATGAATAAGATGGAGATATAAGATGTTTACAGACACTTTAGTAGTGACCTTGAGTATGCCCGAGAAAACGGATCCCATGTTTGGGTTGGTCTGGTCTGGTCCTAGGCAGAACTTCTCTATACTGCTTTGCATTTGGTTGTCTTCCAAAACTTCTGCAAAAAAAACTGTCCATGTTGGCAGCTATGCCTGTTCAATCCTCCCTGGTTGATCTCTTAGTTGCTGGATGCTGCCTTTTAATTCCTGGAGTTTAGGTATTCTGTAATTGTAGCAATGTTGTAACACACTTATTTTGTAGGCTTCATCTTGTTCTGATTATGTCTCTTTTTGTAGATTCCATTTTGCGTAGTGAAAGTAATAAGATGTGTCATTGATACTACTGACTTGCAGATTGATGGTACTGGAACAGAAGATGAGATATTTGAACGAGTCCGCCCAATTTTTGCTGCCTAACGGTATGTTTTAAATGTTTTACTGTGTGATTTGAGCATTTATATTCCTAAGTGAGTCACTAATTTTCATATTTAAAACTTGGGGAATATGATATATTCTGCCAAATATTATACCGTTCAATATTGTGAGAATTCCTATGCTTGTGTTCTGCTACGTACTCATTTGTGTGGCTCGTTGTATTGTTCTTCCCATGATTTTATCATGTAATGGCCTGGTGAGATAAATATGTTTCACATGGGTGAGAGAGAGAGAGAGAGAGATGTTTGACTTGGCCCAGAGAGGGGGGGAGGGGGATGGAGAGATTACCAGCTTGTTGTTTAACAGAAGATGCTAGCCATTTGCTGGGATTTTATATGACAACCAGTTTTGATAAATCATGTGAATATTTAACTCTGCTGAAATGCAGATGGAGTGCAATATAGAAACTTAAGTACGCCTTGCAAATATCCAGCACAACTTGCCTTGTTTTAAAAATGATCACTTTGCAATCCAGTTGAATTTTGAGGGAAGATGATGCCCTCCAATGTTCCCCAATCATTAGTCCCTTGAAAAAAATTAAAGAAAACAAGCAAATAAGAAGGAAGAGCTTCTAAAATTGTAGTTTATGACTTACAAGTGCCGTCTGATTGTTTTACTTACTTTCTATTAGGTTTTCAACAAAATCTAAGGAAACACATTTACAGGTCATTACGGTAATAAACCTTTTCTGACGAAACACCAGAGGAACAAAAGTCGATCGAGCTGGACAGATAAGCCTGGCAGGAAGATGTCACTCAGTTGATACTTGCTACTCTGTGAAGGGGCCTGCAGACTGGTAAAAAATTGTTTTCCCCAAGCTGGGAATCCGGATAAGATACTTACTGACCTCCTAATGCCAGTTAAAAAGAAAATTCCTTATTATTCTTTTGCCCATCTTCGATCTCGCTTGATCACGAGGCGTCCCAGTGAATGTAGAGAGAGAGAGAGAGAGAGACTGTAACGCTATATCAGATCAATCACCTTCTCTGAAGACTGTATCTGAGTGCTGGGATTTCGGTTGTGCTATGCAAAATCTGGCAGATTGTCTCAAGGGTAGTATATTGTAGTTTTCTCATTTCTGAAGGAGGATGCTTTGTGATTGGTGAATATCTTCATGAATAAATGGTCAAAAAGATTATTAAATTATTCAAAATGGCATGAGTTGATAACTATTTTTTTTTTTTGGGGTAAAAAGATTACTCAACTCCCTAAAATGAGCATTTGAGATCATTATAACCAACCAATAGGAAAAAAGCAAATTTGACCCACTATTGCAGGTTTTCAAGGATAACAATGCCGTATTCTGATTGACATAGTTTTTATTTAAAGAAAAATCAGGTTTCAGGGGTAAATCTGTATTTTGACCAAATTTCATAGGAGAGACATGTAATTAACAAAAAAAAAAAAAGGGCACCATCAACAACGTCTTCCTCCTCCACCACTATTGCACAACCCAACCAATGCTCTGTTCCCTCCCCTCCTTTCCCGCGCTTCCCCTCCCCTAAAATCACAGCTTAATAGTTAATTAGTTAAATTTCATAGAAGTAATTGGGATCACCTGAAAGGATCCCTCCCCTAAGGCCTTGCTTGGATTGCTGTTTTCCGTAGAAAAATTTCGTCATTTTCCGTGAACACATTTCCCTATTATCTTTTTTCCTCACATACATCAAATTGCTGTTTTTAGTATTTCAGTGAAATTCGTATTCAACCATACAAGCAAAGGTACGCGTTGTTTATTGATTGCTCACAGGTGAGGTGGGCTGCAAATTTAGCCATGTTTGGACAGCAATTTATACATTTCCCAATCACCTTTTCACCTCATATATATCAAATCACTACAGTAATTTTTCTAAAAAAAATCTAGAAAAATGTAATCCAAACACAAGTCTGTCAAGCCTTCTTGTTTGCCCAAATCCAAAACGTTATAAGTATTGAAAAAAATACACCACATTAAGGATTTATATACTTGTAAATCCGTCTTGCTGCACAAGGTCATTAACTAATGACTGAACGTTAGTGTAACACAATCGTACAATTGAACCAATAAGTCGCCGGTTCCACATATGTTACTAAGAAACAAATGAATTCAACCCATACTACTACAAATTGATGCCACTATTGCTTACAATTAGTCACTAGAACTCTAGAACTTCGGGACATCACTTGGAGAGAATCCCCCACCGGTCCTACTTGATTATGCGATCGAACAGTTGATACCTTTATTACCATAAAAAAAAAAAAAAAAAAAAAAAAATGTAGCAGCAGTCTTCTTTGATTTCCTGCTCCCGTGAACATTGGTGTACAGGCATTTATACGGAAAGGAGGGGGGGGGGGGGGGGGGGAAGATAAAGGGGCGGTGGTTAGGAAGGAGGAGGAGAGCACGACACGTTACGTTGATCAAATAAAATATTGTTGGAAAAGAAAGATGGACAAAGAAAAGTCACGTGCAATAGTTTGCTTCCGTGCAATTGGTGCCACAATGCCGCTAAGAGCCGGTGGTTCCCCGGAATTGAATCATTTAGCAGACGAATTCCATTAAAATGAAAACTTTGTGCCGAAAAGATACTACTGTTAAGCAGAAAAACGTATACCACTCATTATTACGTGGTCAGCTCTCTGGAGCAATTTCTAGCGATCACTCTCCGAATTTGGACTCGTCTTAGTTCTCGTTATGCTGGAAATCGGCATAATCCTCCTACAACAACCGTCTCTTTACAAACTCTCTGCATGTCGCCCGCTCTCTTCCTCGTCAAATAAGAAAACCAGTAAGAAACAGAAGCTAAGACAAAATTATCCTCCTCGAGCGAGAACCAAACTCCGATTCCCAGCACCAAATCCCACTCCACTCTTAGCCAAGAACTACCCCCGTACGAAGCTCCAAGCCCTCGAGTTTGTCATTAACGAAATAGAATCCTCAATAGAAAAGGGCATTGAAGTTAATGATACCCATATCTTCGCTTCCCTTTTGGAAACTTGCTTTGACTTACAAGCCTTTGACCATGCTTTTCGAATCCGCCGACTTATACCTGATAAACTTCTGCGCAAAAATGCGGGCATTTCGTCAAAGCTCATCAGATTATGTGCTCTCAACGGGCACTTGGACGAAGCTCACCACCTATTCGATCAAATGCCTAAGCGTCATGAATCGGCTTTTCCATGGAATTCACTGATAGCCGGCTATGCTGAAAAGGGTTTGCACGAAGATGCATTGGCATTGTACTTTCAGATGGTTGAAGAGGGCTTGGAGCCTGATCGGCACACGTTTCCTCGCGTGCTGAAAGCTTGCGGAGGCATTGGGTTGATCCAAGTTGGCGAGGAAGTTCATCGCCATGTAATCCGTTATGGGTTTGGGAATGATGGCTTTGCCCTTAATGCACTAGTCGATATGTATGCTAAATGTGGCGACATTGTTAAGGCTCGAAAAGTCTTCGACAGAATCGTGGATAAGGACTTAGTTTCCTGGAATTCAATGCTAAGTGGATACGTTCGACATGAGCTTATAATGGAGGCACTTGATATATTTGTGTCGATGGTGTGCGAGGGGCTTGAACTCGACTCGGTTACTTTGTCAGCACTTATTTCGAGCGTGTCATCCTGGAGACTTGGAACTCAAATTCACGGATGGGTTCTTCGTCATGGAATCGAATGGGATTTATCTACAGCCAACTCTTTGATTGCTTTTTACTCCAATTGCAATAAGCTGGAGGAAGCGCGGTGGTTGTTTGAACACATGCCTGAGAAGGATTTAATCTCTTGGAACTCAATAATTTCTGCTCATAGTAGAGATGCCGAAGCTTTATTTTACTTTGAGCAAATGGTAGAAGCTAATGCCTCACCAGACGCTATCACATTTGTGTCTTTGTTGTCCGCTTGTGCTCATATGGGTTTGGTAGAAGACGGACAGAGGCTTTTTAGGATGATGAGGAATGACTACGGAGTCAGGCCAATTATGGAGCACTATGCATGCATGGTTAATCTTTATGGAAGGGCGGGACTCATTGATGAAGCTTATGACTTTATCGTGAATAGAATGGATACTGAGGCCGGTCCAACTGTTTGGGGAGCATTGCTCTATGGTTGCTACCTTCATGGAAGCGTTGACTTGGCTGAGATTGCTGCGACAGCATTGTTTGAGTTGGAGCCAGATAATGAGCATAATTTTGAGCTTTTGATGAAGATTTATGTGAGTGCAGGACGGTTTGATGATGTTCAAAAAGTTAAAGCAATGATGTTAGAAAGAGGATTGAATTTGTAGACCAGCTGAATATGTTCTTCTGAAATTTTTAGGAACACCACAGATTAGTGGGAGGTTCAATTCCTTTCTAGTAAAGTATATCTTTGCATGGTGCTGGTCATTACAGTTGGATCAACGAATGCATTTCTTCTCAAGTCAGCAGGAGCAACAAATCTTGTATGGCTCTCAACACATACAATATCGTGCTAGAATAGTCTCCTGGAGGACGCAGCAAAAGAAGCACGTGGGAACAATGGGAACTGGTGTGGATGGGGGAAAAAAAAGACAGGCATCATCTTTCAAAATTTAGCAGCTAAAAGAATACATTAGTGGGCCGTAGGTTTCGTGATTGTTGAAGCCTTGGTCGTCCGCGGCGTCTATATATTTTTTTAAGTAGCCAATACGCCGACAGACAGATTGCTTAGGAGCAAGAAGGATGCGTGCCTTTGACATTCAATCACGAAGCTCTATAATAATGCAGACACTATCGGTAAAGACTAACACAAATGAAATGAATGTGAATATCAAGACAATAATTTGCAAAAGCAAATTAAATTACATTAATTAATTTTGTCACTCAATTCATATTTGTTTTTGACAGTTAATCTTCATTCCATCAAAATTCAAACTAAATCAATTCAAGCGGTCAATTGCATGGGGCTGTTGCTTTATGAAGCACGGGGCAGAGCTTCGAGCAGGCTGAGCCACCCATACATTTGGATTTGGAGAGAAATTAGAGACTGAGGTGCAAGCAGGAGCAGGTACACGTATACTACTGACCTCCATCTGTTAAATTTAGAGGATATTTAAGGGACTAAACTCTCACTCATGACTCACCCACCTAAATTAAATTTAAAATCCGCAATGCTTAGAAAGGCATTTGTCAAGGAATGAATAAATAAATAAATAATACTCCCAACTGGCTGAGACCCTACAATTAAACTACTACTGGTTCTCCAATTGCATGCAATTATTATTCCCAAAAAAAATATCAAAGGGTGGTTGCCTTCCCCTTCCTCTTCCCCGGAGATCAGATCAGACCAGACCACACACTGAGGTCTGGCAAAGCCTATAACACACCTTTGTCGGCCCATAAAATCTTTCGTTATCATTTTATTTTATTAAGTAGTTTAATCATCGCATCCATCGTCGGCGTGACATTCCTCAATAATTCTTCATCTCATCGACTGAACTACACCTAAACCTAAACAAAAATATCTTCCGATGGATCATTATCGTATCGTGCTCCTCGGGGTTGGCTCGGCTGGTGCTGGAGTTGCCTAATCAGGTCCTGATACTGTGTGGTCAGGTTCGACTCCTTCTATCATCTTGTGTATCCTTGAGGAGCGGGGTACACAAGCGCACGAAAATTAGTCTAGTCGAAGGTTGGGACACTCCCTGTGTTGACCAAAGAAAAAAAAATCATTATCGTATCGTAGGATGCTGCTACTGTATTCCAGTATCTTTGTAGTATGTAGTAGTGGTATGTATTACTTACCTCAGTGCTTGTTTCGTATCGTATATCGTATCAGATTAATTAAAGCTCAACTTTCTTAGACGGGGCTGCTTTCGTTGCCGGCTTTTGGAATTCAATTTGGGATTAGGTTTAATTAATTCAACGAAAAGTCATTATTGGAGTTGAAAGAAGACAACTGGCTGTTGGGATTGGGTTCTTGGGTGGTAGTATCCCACTTAGCAGCAGGGTTCCCCCTTTTAGGTTAGTTATTCCACATCGATCGGTTCTGGGAAGGGTTTGGGTTGGATAGTTAAGTCTTGGATTGACTCCAAGAGTTGTCGGCTTTTGAAATTTAATCTGGGATTAGGTTTAATTAATTCAACGAAAAGTCATTGCTGGGTTGCTTTCTCCATCACCGTAAATGCGAATCGGAGTGGGAATGGGGCCTGGGAAAGCGTGAAATACAGAGCCGACAACATCTCTTGACGCCTGTCCCCATGCCCATGCTGATGCGGACTCTCGTTGGATTCTCCAACCTCTAATTCCTGATTCAAAATTTCAACCAATACCAGTTAGAAACCGACAAAACGGTAATGTGCCGTGGCCATGCAAAGAAAATGAATTTTACACGTATTATTTCCTATGTCCGGAGGATGTTTTTTTTTCATCGGGAGAGCCTTTCAAAAAAAAAAAAGAATTTTCTCGTACTATAAAATTAATTTGTATGGCGCTCGAAAGGTCGATGATGATGGCCTCCTACAAGTAGGGCAGAATAAAAAAGAGAAGAGAGAGAGAGATATGACATTCTGGCTAGGCCAATAATCTTATATCCTTATTGTTTGTTAGCACCAAAAAATAAAAAATCACAAATTGAAAGTATATTTCAACACACATAAAAAAAAAATTTGGAAGAAGAAGAGTATAATAATCACAAATACATAAAAGCACATCTAAAAACTCTCTGTACCTTCAGCAAGTAAAATTACTAAAACTTGACTATACTTGAAATTATTAAAAGAGAAATAGAAAAAACACACACCTATTAATTATTAGGAAGGTTGGTTGGTTCTTTTAATCATGCCAACACCTATTAATTCCAAAGCTAGTAGTGGCTTTGAGTTGAAATCAATCAAGAAAAACAAGCTAGAAAGAAAGAGTAACCAAAAACCTTTTTTTGACTCCTCCAAATCTGGTTTTGACAAAAAAAAAAAAAAAAAAAAATCTGGTTTTGAAAACGTTACTCCCGGACGGGTGCTTTTGGAAGACTTGGAGCTTTATTTTATTTTGCCGCTTTACAAAAGCAAAAGTAAAAAGTAGGCTGCATTGTCCCACCAAAGTATATAAAATTGGGAGTAGTTTTTTCTCGATTATGGTGCGCTAATAATCTTGCTGCTTTGGAAGGGAGTTTCTTGATTATGGTGAACTATAGCAGTACCATAAGACGTCCTGCTAACTGGTAATAGTAACAAAAATGGTTTCACACTCTATTATCATCGGATACCTATTATTATCATCTACACAGAACAAAGACCACAAACATTACATTCACAAATCACATGTCTGGTCTGGCATAGCATCTCAAATGCATCATCCATATGCACCCGCCCTACCCACCGGTTACCAACGCCGGTATTCGAGGATGGGTAAGCCCTTCATGTAGAAAGGCTCATTTTTCATGTCTGAAAACCATACTGATAACATATATTCTCAATTTTGCTAGCTTAATTATAAAAATTGACTGGAAATCATGACATGTTTTTACGATTGACTAAAGCATGAAAATTATTAAAAGTAAAAGAGGCGGGTCATTTTTTTTTTTTTTTAAAGTTTCTTTTACGTTGGTATGTTAAGTATCATTTTCGCATGTTGAGTATCATTAGGAATCCATTCTAACTCGACAATTTGTTTCATTACCAAAGCCACGAAAGTGACGACATGACTAAAATTTTTCTCTCTCTGTGATTTTTTTTTGGTGCTTGTCAAATGGAGACAAACAAAGCTGGTGTGGGGACTGCAAAATAGGAGTATTAGGGTACGCTGGCGTGGGGCAGCACTGAGCTGCGCCATAAATCAAAACTGTAGGAAGCAAACAAGAGTGAGCTGGCTGGTTGGTTTGAGTCAACGTCGGTAGCAAAACGTCAAACCACAAATACATTAAAAATTTCGAACAGCAGTACATTCCCACCGCAATATCGCGGGTCCACATATCTCATCTCCTGCTACTCTGCCGATTTTCCTTGATTTTGTGCTTGATTGGCGGAGTACTTTTTTCCGCCACATAGACAGTGAGTTTGTTTGTATAAGAGTTTATTTGGATGATTTATTTGAGATATTTATTGTAGCATTTTTTGTGATGTGATGTGATGTATGTGAGATAAAAAGGTGATTGGAATTTATGAAAACAAATTTTGCAAACCAAATTATCTTTGTCCAAACAAACTCAATACTATTATCCCTTCGTTGATTTTAAAAAGGGATAATTTCAGGAACCTTCCTTGAGATCTCTGAGAGTCTCACTCACCTCTCCTGAACTTTGCAAAATATCAGCTACCTCCCCTAAAACTAAGCAGAGTATATCAAATCTCACCCAATTCAAATGCACAAACAATTTTAAATATATATCAGGAGAGAGAAAAACACTCCATCCCACATTTGTCCTCAAGATTATCATTAGTGACTTAGGCCTTGTTTGGCACTTGAGTTTTTTGTCAAGTTTATCTGTTACAAGTTTTTTAAAAACTTTAGCAACAGTAATCTCAAAAAAAATTTCAAAATTTTTAAACTATACACTTCAAAATATTCCAAAAATTTACATATTTCAAAAATTTTTAAAAAAACTTCTACAGTAAGTTACAGTAAAATTTAGACAAACGTCCAAAAAATTCACTTGTCAAACGGAGCCTTAATTTTTTGTTGAACAGTACAAATCATCTAACAACAATGAAATTTCAGAGAGTGTATCTGAAATTAATGGAAAAGGCAAGGTGCCTATTGCATTTTGGAAGGTAGAAGCCAATAGCTCCTTGTGCACAGCTAAACCAACGATAAAGAGCAAATAATAGTTAAGTTGGTTAATCATTCGTATTAGTCATTTAACTAATTCTGTCAAAATAGTTTCGAAATATATCATAAGTTATGAGGGTATATCTGTCAAATCATCATCAATGATATCACAAATAGGGCCTAATAACCTGACAGGGGAGGTAGCTGATATTTTGCAAAGTTTAGGGGAGGTGAGTGAGACTGTCAGAAACCTCAGGGGAGGTTTTTGAAATATCTCTTTTAAAAATGTCATACTTTTTATTTTAAAATATTTATTATATTAAAAAAATTTAATTTTTTTAAATATAATTATTTTTTCTAATTATGTGTATGTTATCATTTAAATTTAAATTTTAAATTTATAAAAATAAAATTAAAAAATATAAATATCACAATCAAATCATTGATTTTAAAAAATTAAGGCCCTGTTAGATGTGCAGAATTTGGAAGCAATCCTCGAGAATGTGACAGAGACGGCCATGGGATTGCGTGGGGGTTGCGTAGGGAAGAGTAAGGGAGGTGAAGGAAATCAAATACTGTAGAAAGGTGGACTATGTGTGCCCTTTTTGCTTAGAATATGAGGACAAAAATGCCCTCGAAAGAAGCACATGGCGTTCGTGTGAATTGGTCATCCGGTTGCAAAACCGGAGAAACTGGCTAAAAAGGCCACGGATTTCCCATTTTACAAGTTCGAGGGCTTAAAGTCAGCAAAAAATAGATGAGGGGCTTAATTTTACCTAGACAAAGAGTTAAAGGGCCAATTGGATAATTTGTCCTTTTTTTTTCTCTCTACGTCCGGCACAAAGGGGGGTGGCGCAGAGGGGGGCGGCGGGGGGCACAGGGGGAAGGGGCAGAGAGGGGCGACGCCAGAAGGGGACGGCGGGGAGAGAGGAATGCGGGGGGAGGGGAAGGGGCAGATGGGGTGGCGCAGCGGGGAGAGGGGGGAAGGCGGGCAGAGGGGGACGGCGGGAGAGAGGGGGCGGAGGAGGTGGGTGGCGCAGAGGGAGGCGGCGGGGGAGAGAGGGGAAGGGGCAGAGGGGGGCAGCGGGGGGAGGGGGAAGGGGCAGAGGGGGGCGACGGGAGGTGGAGTTGCTGCTGGGGGTGGCGGAGGTAACGGGGAAGAAGAAGAAGAAGGAGAAGAAGAAGAAGAAGAAAAAGAGAGGAAAGAAAAGAAAAAGGAAAGAAAGAAAAAGAAAAAGAAAAAGAAAGGGAAAGAGAAAAAAAAAAGAATAAAAAGTTTTTCACCTTACAAAAACTTTTACAAAATTTTTTCAAAAACTTCTAAAGTACACTACTGTAAAGTTTTAGACAAACTCCCAAAAAATTCAGGTTCCAAACAGGCCTTAAATTTTCAACTAAATAACTGGGATTGAGAGAATATTATTTTATGATTTATGATGCCTAATTGCAAATACGCCAAACCCAATATGAAATCAAACACTCGGCGCACGTTAGATGACGGAAACACGACGAGTTCACATACCCAGGGCCTGGGCCCCAATTTACACGTGACATACCATTCGAGTCTTTTAAACTCTTCCCCACTTTTCATTTTCCTATTATATATAGAGACATAGATTGCCTTCAATGATGCTGTGAATAGAACCTATTCTCCTTCAGTCTTCATCCACCCTACCCTCTCTTCTTATCAGTTATCACATACATATCCATCCGCTCTCTAAGGGCGAAAAAGTAAAAAAAGGGAGATGGCTTACCCAATACTGCCTTTACTAATTTTGAGTCTGTCCCTCTCGTGGATTCCGGCCAAGTCAGATGCCGCGGCCGCAGCCACCAGTTTCATCCGGGCCAAATGCAGAACCACTACCTACCCATCTCTGTGTGTCGAATCCCTTTCGACTTTCGCCGCGACCATTCAGAGGAGCCCGAACCAGTTGGCCCAAACGGCTCTGTCCGTGAGCCTGGACAGGGCTCAGTCCACTAGAGCATTCGTGGCTAAGCTTTCCAAATTCAGAGGGCTGCAAGGTAGAGAGTATGCAGCTCTGAGGGACTGCTTAGAACAGATGGCCGACAGCGTGGACCGGCTCAGCAACTCCGTCCAGGAGATCAAGAACTTGGGTAGGTCCCGGGGGCCGGAGCTATTCTGGCACATCAGCAACGCACAGACTTGGGTGAGTGCTGCGCTCACTGACGACAGCACTTGTGCGGATGGGTTTGCCGGCCGGACCTTGAATGGAAGGGTTAAGTCTTCCATTAAAACCAGAATGACCAATGTTGCACAGTGTGACCAGCAATGCCTTGGCATTGATTAACCAAATGGCTGGTGGAAACTACTAGAAAGCAGTAAATCACTCAGCATGCGAAGGTCTCAGGTTTAATTTGTTTCCTCTGATCTCAGCCTCAGCCAGCGCTTGTGTGTCTGTTAGCTTTACTTTTGAGTTTTCAACCTTGAATGTGTATAGTAGTAGCAGTACTAAGAAATTACTCAAGCCTTTTTTTTTTTTTTTGTCTTGTTTAATTATTATACGCAATACGATGAGCCGTGCGTCCTTTTTTCTCGTCTTTAATTTGACTGGCGACTAACTAATGCTTTTACTTTTCGTGTTTTTTTTTAAAAAAAAAAAATTTGGAAATCATTTTCAAAAGGGAAGTTGCTTGACTGGTCAGCATCCATTTGATTTTTAATTATGGGGCCCCATGCCAATGAAATAGCTTAAGTCGATCTAAACGTCCCTTCTAATAAATAATTTTAATGCCTTTTTCTTTTTATTTTTTGACACCGGCAATTGACAAATGAGGACTTCCCTAGCATGCATCGAATATCGATCGAGTAGTTAGTAAGTATCGTATCGTATCGTAAATCATCGGCGGTGACCAGCATCTTATTCCGAGGTGGAATGGAAAATTGGAAAAGACGACGCGTCCTCCGCAGAATTTGTCATTTTGGTCTAATTTTGATCCTACGAAGATTTCCAATCTTCCACTGGCTTGCTTTGACGCTTACGATGGGGGGTAGGGGCCTAATTCTAAGGACCCAAATATTCTTCTTTCAACCCTTGAATAATAGTAGTAATAACACATTTACATTTCCCAACCATCCTCCTCTTATTGGATAGCCAATTATTCCAAATAACACATTTACATTTCCTGATAATTGGATAGTCAATTATTTTAAATAATATTTTTTTTGCATTATAAATATATTTTTTAATTTATTTTTTTATATTTTTAATCACTTTTTTATCTCATATACATCAAATCACAAAAAAAACTACAATAATTATTCCAACTAATATTTCAAATAATACTCTGTCCAAACAATTCCATTATTATTATTGAAAGTGCCATCATATTCATAAGGGAATTACTATTAAACAGGGCCAGAGGCGGCGCCCTTTCATGATCACTATTCCTGTTCCTTTCTGCAACATATGTCGCGGTGGCAGCTGCCCCAGCTGCAACTTCCCCAGATGCTGCACAAGGGAATCTAGAGGCCTTATGCAAGAAAGCCCACGATGTTGATTCCTGCATTAATTTGATTCGCTGGAATGGTACCGAAAAGTCCTGTCAAAGTCCTTGTCCAAGGCCAGGAACTTCATGACAAAAGCAGCGGGTCAGGGGTTTGGAGGCCAGAACAGCAAATTGCATCGTTGGACTGCGTGGGTAAGATGAGTGACAGCGTAGAAACTCTCCAGCAATTAAAAGTTCCGCACGAGTTTGTAGAAATGTTCAAAACTGAAAGCTGCTGAGGGATATGATGGCATAAGAAAAATGTGCAGACTTTGTATTGGATTTAGCCACAAATCAAGAGGAAGCTTGCTACAAGTCGTTGGTAAGTCGTCAACACCCGGTCTTGCAACAAGTTAGGGATTTAGCAAACAACGCTTCCACGGCCAACAAGATTGTAGTCTTGGACATTTAAGCTTCCCAACTTACAAATTTGTAATTTGGGTTCTGTAAGTTGGCTAGTATTCCTAACTATAGCACTTTTTTGGGAAATGTACGTATCGGCAATGGGCAAAAACCTATCCACCAGACCAAATTCCCTAGTCTACCAGTTGGGAGCCAATGTTGGCTGCACTCTCGATCAGCTATATGTATTGCAGATTTTGTACTAGACTATATAATAAAGCAGCAACAAAGACTGAGAAGTGTACGATTGAATCACTCGTACTTGGAAAAAAAAATGAGGCATAAGCTCCACTGTTATTATTTATAATACCATCATGCCTATGGAATTTCATAAATTACAATTGTCGCGTGCATGTTGATAGTGCTGTTAGTGCTACCAAAATGAAGTGCAGATTGTGTGAAAAGTGAAAGCCATCCAGAAATTAATTCCAGACAAACAATTTACTGCGACAGACAGAAGCAGTTCAATCACTGCTAGTAAAGATGGTTGATTAGGTATAGAGCATTGCTTATAAGCTTTTGTGGAGGTAATACGAAACTTTTGATATTTGCCCTGAGGGCAGGACTAATTTTTCTCCCAGTAAATCCATCCAGGCATGACTCCAGATCCGTTATGGCAGCGCTACCCCAAGTCTTGGCATTAGCCCATTGGAACTGCCGGTCGGCACCTCCAAGACGTGTCATTGCACTAAGAGCCTGCTTGAGCTCAGAAATCGCATCTTTCACATCATACATGCAGTCTTTGAGGGCTGCGGCTTCCATGCGCGAATAGTACCCTTTCCGAGAGGCCAGCTTTGAAACTTTGGCGGTTGTGTTGCTGGCGCCTTGTATGGCTACGCTGAGGGCCGTCTTACACAGCTTTAAGGGGTTGGTTTGGACGTAAGAGGCGTAGGGATAAAGGGTTCTGATGCAAACTGCAGGATAGGTCGTGGCGCTGCATCTGGTTTTCACGAAGTTTGTGTAGGCTGACGGGGTTGTGGCAGCTGAAGTTGGTTGCACCAAGGAAATGGAGGAAACGAGGGAGAGAAAAGTGCACAAGAACTTTTTTGTTAGGTTGTAATTCTTCTCCATTTTCCACTTCCTTTTTGACTTGCCGTTTATGTCAGTTTACACATTTGAGCAGGGATCGATGATGAGAAATACTACTGCTATATATATATATAGATAGGTATCAGGTGGGTTTAATGTTTAATCGAATGTGAATCCGTTGAAAGTTTCAGACTAGCCAAGGGGCAAAAGTAGGGGTTGGGGAAAGTTGCTTGCATGTATTGATCTGTGAGTATGTGAATTGTGATACCAACGCCAATTTCGTCGACAAACGCTGCAGCAGGCTACAGTCACATGCAATCTTCTGTATTCTAAATTCGATTGCTTAATTTTTTATCCATTGATTGATAGATTAAATTATTGGATACGGAATATGGAAAGGAGATTGATTGCAACTGAGACGCATTTGATCTTGGCACGCAATCTTAGTTTACTTCCTTCGTAAGACCTTGCTGGAAGAGGGTCAGGTCTTCTGGGTTGCCTCCATTTCTCTTGTGAATTTGATCCATGGCACATAGGAGTGTGCAAAATAAAAAAAAAAATCCATTTATCGAACAAATTCAAATTAAATTCAAAATTTTCGAAATTGGTAATTCGAAATTTAAAATTGAAATTAGATTTTTTGATTTTAAATTATACGAATTTGGTTCGAATTCAATAATGAAAATTTTCAAATCAAAAATTTCTATTTCTATTTCAAATTTATTTTTCATATATATATATATATATATAATACTACTAACCCTCAAAGGATGGAATTAATTCCAACATAATGTCACACTACAACTTAAAATAATGAGAACTAGTTCCAAAATTCCTGAATACATCACGATATTGGGCAACTGGAATTGTTTAAGCAAGTCGATCAAAAAGAAAGGTCCGAGAGGGAGGGGGGTTCACGTGCCACAGACCCAGGGGATAAGCCCGGGTCGATTTAAAAAATAAAAAGTCTACATCTCGAAGATCGTGCAAAAGCCCAAGGCCTCGCATGATTCGCTGCGGATTCCCGTTGGAACGTGGGCTGCGGCAAATGCTGCTGGACTATAGGCGATGTTGTTGGTGGCGGCGGCGGCGGCAGAAGCAGTGGGTGGTGGCGATGAGTAGTGGACGAAAGGCTGGGTTTTTCAAAAAAAGAAAATTCATACCGAGCCTGAGTTTGTGTTGAAATTGCAACGAAGACAAATTTTTTTTAAATACTAAAAATTTTAATTTCTTGAATATTAAAAAGAAAAAAGTCAACACAAAGCTTTTCAAAATTGCTTGTGTGTTACCCAAAAAAAAAAAGAAGAAGAATTTTGCTATCAATAGACTCTAATTTACACCAAATTTATCATTTTAATGCGACAATAAAGCTATGAAAAGGAAGATTCCAAAATTTCTTATTGAGCAACAGGTTCCAGGCAAGCCCTTTCTGAGCCAAGAAAGAGGAAAAGGAGGATATATATATAATTACTTATTTGTCTGCTTTGTCCCCCAGGCCAGAATCTGGGTGAAATCTGCTGAGGTAGTTAATTTGACGAGTATAGTCAAAAGTCAATCAAACTGCTAGCTAGTAATTTGATTTACTTTTTAGGAAAGTTGATGTCAGATTAACTTTCCGTTTCTTTTGTCCTTTCCGAATTTGTTGAAGGCTGGCTGACTATTACTCTATTAGTCGAAAGACAATCAAAACAGGCAAGTTCATTTATACCATTCCAAGGATTGGGGAAAAAAAAAAAAAAAAAACAGGTGGAGTAACGGTGGTCGTAATGGTTGGTGATGAGATTGTCGAGAGCACGATTCGAACTGAGCTAGCGAACCGGGGGAGGGGGACGAACTGGTGTCAGCGAGGGGAAATCCGAACTGACCTGCAAAAGAATGAATTGCGGGACTAGCTCCCCGTTGTGACTCCGACGGTCAAATCAGTTATAGCTATGAGTAAAGTAACAGTAATGATTACTATAAATGGCGTACTTTACTTTGTCTCGTTGTACTATATTTATAGGACTATTGGTAGTAGTTTTCTTATAGGATTATGAGCCCTACCACAGATAGACTCCTCTTTGGATTCTGTCTGCTGGTTTCGAAGGGCTTTGAGAGCTTCGGTCCACTCGGTCCACCTAGCTAGAAAGCGATGGTCTTGCCTGAGTTAACTTGCTCGAACTGACACGTGGCGTTGGCGAATTGGCTCCTCCACAGTTGGGGTTTCTGAATTTGTTGATTTTTTCTTGAAAAAGTAGTTCCACGAGGGTGGTCAAGATCAGCCAACAACTGATCATCAATAGGACAATAGATGGCTGTTGATACGAATTAAGCCAATAATGAAGGCAAGTGAGATATTTATTTTCTTATACTTTATATGCATCTAAATCTAATTGAAACGGTTGGCGTAGGGTAGGGTCCTACAGACCATTCAACGCCAGAATTCCCATTCCCACTTTCTTCTCTCTCTCTCTATTTTTTATTTTTAAAAAATAACAATAATATGCCTTCGAAAGGCTGGTCCTCCCTCCACACAAGGTTGAAATGTGATGGAGAGTTCCTCACGTAATCATAGACTTAAAGGTTTGTTGGGATAAAAGGTCAAGGATTCAAATTTTACTTTCTATCACTTGGCACAATACGTGACTGTCAGTTTAAGTGGCTTAAAGTGATTCAGTCCCCGTCGGTTCTCTTATGTCCAGTTGCGCCCTTTCCCTTAGAATAAGTTAGAGTAGGAATAAGGGTAGACATGAGATAGGCAACAAAAAAATAGGGAGTTCCCCATGTTCTCGCCACGTTACATTGTGCTACTTCAACAGTGAGTGGTACGTAAAGGACCCAATGTAGAAACTACTTCCAAGTTGTTTTGCATCCGGTCCCTTTTGTCTCCCAATTAGTGCAGCTTCAACCAAACTAAACGGGTCTTGTTTTGGCTCCTAGATATTTGTAGGTCCTCTCCTTATAATTGATTTTAGCTTCTATCGTGTTTAATATTCTAATTATAATGACGTGCACGGCCGCCATCATTATAATTATACTGTTCGGCCCGCTAATTAATTATATTCAAACAACTCTCTATCTTTTCTTCTTTTTTTTTTTTTTTGAAGAGAAAAAGGGATGCATTATGGTTGCTCATATCATGCGTTGCATCCTCCTTCTTATTCTCCGTATATATCTATCTTTACCAGTTCTCCATATATTTCTATTCACGGACACACCCTACGAAAACATTTTTATTTGTTTGGACGGCCAAGGCGCGGGGGGGCTGCTAGCCTCCATGACTTGGGCAGGCACTTATTCTGTAATAGCACTTGGGTTTACTCCACAAACAATTGCTTACTACATTAATTTGGTTTTGGCGCAGATGGAACTACTCAAATTGAAACCGGCCTTGTGACGTCCGTGTTGGCCGACAACTCAAATTGGTTTTTAGCACCAAAATAGTATGAAATGTTGGTTAGATTGCAAAGGAGCTCTCCATTTTTATTTCTTCTTCCTATCCTGTGTAGTATGTTGTTCCCGTTAATCACTTGGATAGATCCGATCTATGCAGATCATGTGATCCAAATTTTACCACGTCATTTTATCAATTCCTCAATAATTGATGATGTAACAAAATTTAAACAATATAATCTACGCAAATCAGGTCTATCCAAATTTCTGCCGAATGAATATGCAAATTTATACATTAGAGTCTGGAGTTTGGACACGGGGGAAGTCAAGTGGTCAAGTTGGTTCTGCTAGCCAAAGGCCACTTGGTGAAAATGAAATGAGGAAATGACATTTGGGTGCACCTGTCTAGCCAGCCAGTTGATGATAGCCATAGCCCATAGGCCATATCTAAAACCAGCCATAGGCCCAATTGGGTGCACCTGTCTAGTGTTGCTATCACACATGGCGCCCATTCATCTTGGAACTTTATGCCCAATACATGCATCCAATTAAGTTGCCCACAAGTTGCGCTTAGCTAAAAAAAAAAAAAAAAAAAAAAAAATTCTTATCCATTGCTGCCAGCCGCCACCGTGGCTCATTTTTCTTTTGTCTCCTAGTTATTGGGTGATAACAATTGACTCATCTTGACTTGCCCAAAAAAGAAAAGGAAAAAGAAAACTGATTTTGACCTTTTTTTTTTTACTAATTATAGTAATTGTTAAGAGTATTTTGTTATAGGATAAACTGCTTAGGAGCTCCTGAACTATTTGAGTCATCAACTATAGACTCTTCATCTATTTAAGTCTCAAATTACCCTCTCTCAACAATAAAAATAGTCAAATACTGATCCTTCAATTTATATCTACCATTAAAACATATGGATATAAGTGCAAAATTTGACGAATTTAATGGCAAAAATGGATAGAAAGATCGAAATTTAATACTTTTTATTATTGAGGAACTAATTTAAGATTTGAAATAGATGAGGGGTCAAAAATTAATAACTAAAATAGTTTAAGGACTCTTTTAAGTGGTTTACCATTTGTTATGCTGGTTGCTTTTGCTTTTAAGGAAAATTTGTTCTACTCTTATGGTTAGACCCTACAAATAGCTTGAATCTTCAGGATGACACAGCCGCCATCCAATGGCCCAATGCGATAGCTCCTCAGATATTTTCGTTATTCCTATTTCCTCCTCCTCCTCCAGGCATGAATATCTCCCAAACAGAACTTTTGCCAAGAAGTAGAGAAGTAGCCACTGGCCAGCAAGTCCATCATAATAATAATGGCGAGGAGATGATAAATTGATTGATAATAATAATGGTGAGGAGAAATTGACAAGCTTCATGGTATATCACTGCACTAAAACCGTTGCACAAGAAGCTTTGGTTTAGACATTCTATCTAACGTCTAGTAGGCACAAAAAGCTTTGGTATAGAGTTGCACAAGAAAGTAAAACTAAAAGCACAAGATTTCTTTTCTAATCTCAAATTTCTGGTCCTATCCAATCACAATAGCGCCAAGTTTTCAGAAATTTTTATTTTTAACGAGAATGATTTGGAAGCAATGAGGGAAAAGAAACGTGGTGGAATAGGAAGAGAAAAGGAGCTGATTGTTTTTTTTTTTTTTTTTGTAAATATTAATCTGCAGATATATGTCACGCGAGCACAGTAAAGCGTGTGATACGAGTATTAGATTAGGGTGTAAGACGAGAGTGTGGGTAGCCACAAATCAATAGCACCCTTGTATTATACCACAACAGTGCCCTTTTGCGCCGTGTTTCCCTATAAATTGAGAG